GGATTTTTAGAAGGAAAATCACTAGCGCCAAAATGGAGAAAATCTGCTGACAAATCACTGTCGCAGCCTTCATGCAGCCACTCCAATACAATTTACGAAGTCCAGCTGCAAAAGACAATAGTTAATGGACAAAGCAGCCACAGCACGAAGCAACCTTGACGCAGCCATTACAATGTGATCTGCAGAGACTGAGTTGCAAAACACAATAGAACTACGCGCAACTGGGTCGGAAATTGCAGCTCCAAAACCGGATCTCGACGCCAGAGCGAAAAAAAAGACGATTTTGAAGCACTTTTTGAAAGGATTTTTAAAAAGAAAATCACTAGCGCCAAAATGGAGAAAATCTACTGACAAATCACTGTCGCAGCCTTCATGCAGCCACTCCAATACGATTTACGAAGTCCAGCTGCAAAAGACAATAGTATTACGTATGCAGCCAAAGCAGGAAGCAACCTTGACACAGCCATTTACATTGCGGGAACGATCCTACAGTTGCAAAGCACAATGGAATTCCATTGGCAACTCATCCACCAGCAACACTTGCAATCCCATTTACATTGAGGGAACGATCCTACAGTTGCAAATCACAATGGGATTCCATCTGCAACTCATCCACCAGCACCACTTGCAACCCCATTTACAATGCGGGAACGATCCTACAGTTGCAAATCACAATGGAATTCTGTCGACCACACATGCACGAAAAACAGTTGAAACCCCATTTACAATGCGGAACCGATCCGAGCATGATCCGAGACCGATCCGAACATGATCCGAACATGATCCGACCACACACGAGACCGTCTCGCACCCGTCGCACAGCAGAGGTAGATCATCGAAGTTCGTGGACACACTTTGTATGGAAAAACATAGGGTTTCGTGCATCTGCTATCTCTCAAAAACGCATTTCGTGCGAGACTCATCCGGCAGCACCACTTGCAATGCCATTTGCATTGCGGGAACGATCCTACAGTTGCAAATCACAATGGAATTCCATCTGCAACTCATCCACCAGCACCACTTGCAACCCCATTTACAATGCGGGAACGATCCTACAGTTGCAAATCACAATGGAATTCTGTCGACCACACATGCACGAAAAACAGTTGAAACCCCATTTACAATGCGGAACCGATCCGAGACCGATCCGAGCATGATCCGAGACCGATCCGAACATGATCCGAACATGATCCGACCACACACGAGACCGTCTCGCACCCGTCGCACAGCAGAGGTAGATCATCGAAGTTCGTGGACACACTTTGTATGGAAAAACATAGGCTTTCGTGCATCTGCTATCTCTCAAAAACGCATTTCGTGCGAGACTTCCTTCCAAACTCCATCGGCAACTCCTCCACCAGCACCACTTGCAATGCCATTTACAGTAGGGGAACGATCCTAGAGTTGCAAATCACAATGCAAATCCATCAGCAACTCATCCACCAGCACCACTTGCAACCCCATTTACAATGCGGGAACGATCCTACAGTTGCAAATCACAATGGAATTCCCGTAAGGCTCCGCAGCTGTCCTTTGGACAGCTGTTCAAGCCCCGAGAGCCTTTTGCTCTCTGTTGTTGTTTCAGCTTCCGTAGCATGTAGTGCTGCTGCAGCACCTGCAGAAGTTTGGCTCATGCTACCATGGTTTGCAAACCATATTACTATGTCACGGCTGGGCCGTCTCAGGATGCCTTTTTCCAAGAATAGGTGAGGTAGACCATAACCTCAGCACCACAGCTGTGCTATTTGGCCACTGTAGAAGAAATGTTTGCTTCAGTTCTGGTAAAACTAACAACAACTCACCTCTCCTATATAGTGTCGGTTGAAACTTCCGGCCACCGCCTTGTGCGGCACTACTTGTGTATGTGTATATATATATATTTATATACGTATATCTATTTACTTATACACACCTATACACCTATGATAAACAAAACACACATGTATACCTATGGGCCTATGTGCATACCATATATCCCCCAAAGGTGAAACGGCAAAATTATGGGTTCTACCTTGGACACATGCAGGGAAATGATTCACGAATGGTGGTTTGGCATCCGTTTGTCCCCCTTCTGTCCGCAGGGCCCAGCACCCTCACTATTTTTAAGTTGTAGTTTAACTAATTATTTTTTAAGTATCTTGTGAATTATATCTGTAATGAGGTACCACCCACAGTTTAGGTCTTAATGCCCCAAAAATCACTAAGGGAAAGACATTCAGAACATCCTTGGGTAGTTGCCCCTGGTATTTGTCCGGCAAAAAGCCTTATGGCTCATTTCTATATATGACCTGAAACGGCACTATTCTAACGATGATCGCTGGTCACAATTATGATGAACCATGTTTGGTTTAAAATTCAAAAATGTTCAGTTATTTTAGAGATGGTGACTTACCCACTGCCTAGATATGGAATGGTCCACACCTCTGTCACGGAATATGCAACTGCTTTTAATGCTGTCAATTTCTCACATAGCTTGAAAGAAAGAATGGAACCTCCAACATGTTAGCGGGATTTGGATTTTCATGGTTTGACACGTACCCAGTTTATCACCACTCCCCGTTGCCAATGCGTGGCGCCTGATTTTGCCTCTGGCGATTGCCACATCTGCTTGTGGCTGGGTGACCAAGTTTTCCAGCTGTTGTGGCGCATGTTGTCACTTGAAGTCTTACTATATATGGGTGTTTCCTGAAATAGGGGTACCCCCAAATCATCAATTTTAATATGAGTTTCTCTTAGAATATTTCCATTTTGGGGTACGGGTACATTTAGTTAAAAGAAATTTCCATATCACTGTCACTTAATACACAGTTTTTAAGTTTCAAATCACCAGCCGTTTTCGAGGATGCAGCCTTTTACAATAGTGCAAATGATGTTTTCCCCCTGGAAAGAGGGAATCAAATCTTACACCCTGATGTGGGGATTTATTTTGGTTTGCACTTGGGGACGCAGTTTGCGCCATTCCCCAATTTGTTTTAAAGCTTACCAAAACCCTGCCCCGAGTGACAACCTGCACGGGCCAAGCTCACGCAACGCCCCAGGTCAGACAAAGATCAGAAGCTCCTGCAAGAAGTTTGCACGGAGGCCAGCCCAATGGCGGGGGGAGAATTTGCAGGATCAAAGGCCTATAATAGTCTCAAGACCCTTAGCCCCAAAAGATGATCAAAAGATGTTTTGATGAATGCCTTTTATCAAAAGTTGAAGCATGTGAAAGCCACTTGTCTGGCGAAACGGTACTGCCAACCGTTCAAAGAAAGAATGTATTGAAAGCCATGCGCAATTTTCACCCCAATATTATTTAATTTGGAAGGTTTTTTTTGGAACAATGCGATCGGACATCAAATGGGAGAGTTTCTCAATAAAACTAGTGTTCCAAACAATTGGACATCCACACCCCTTCTGGCAACCTGTGAACCTTGCCAATTAGAACCATTTGGGATCAAACTGCTGTCAGTATAGGGTGATGGCGGTCGTGGAACTTCGCCGTGAGTTGGGGCTTGAAGGTGGTGCGTGGAAATCTGTACGTGCCTTGGTTTTCCCTATCATCCATCTTATTTTTTTGAAAGTTGTTATGTTTTTTTGGTGGATACTGCCCCACAAAATGATGGATAAACGTCAATGTTTTGAACTTTGATTTGCCAAACCGCTGAAGGCCCTGGCAAAGTCCCGTGGAATGAAGCTTTCGTAGTTTCTGAACTGCAGCCGTGAAAAATACCACCATGTTGTTAGTTTTTTTGGTGTTTGAAGAATCAAGGGCCAAATGCGTCTTGTGGGAACGTGGCATCCAAATGATTGGATTTTCCAGGTTTTCTGGGACATGTATATGTATATATATATATACATATATATATATAGAGTTATATTTGTTTATGCTCATATATATTTATATCTGTACATATGAATATATATAATATGTGTACAAACGTGTATTATAGCATAATATTATATTATACTGTTTTGTATTATATTAAACTATATATTTACTCAATATAAATAGTTCAAATATGATAGTTAATATTTAATACCTGCTATATGTCATATATATATATACATATGCATTTATATCTAATACATAATGCATAATATATACTATATAATATGTAAGATATAAAAAGTTTATACAACATACAAAATATAGTATATATGTAAATATATACAAATAAACAATAATAAGAATAATAATAATTATTATTATTATATATATGTATATATAAAATGATTTAATATATAGATATATTTGTTTATATTTATAGAGCCAATCATGCAGCTGCTCTCCTCCCAGGCTGAAGTGGCTCGAAAAATGCTTCGGGCAATGCCTGAACGCGCGCGAGAAATCATTTTGGGTGGCGACTTTGGTGGTTCCAACTTGGTGATCTTGCAGTCGGAGATCCACAGACCCAGTTTCCGAGACCTTTGGTTCTTGAAATCAACAAGATGAAGGTAGGGAGGTTTCATTTTTGGACATCCATGTTGTAAATGATGATGGAATCAACGATCCTAGTTATTTCCGGTTGACTTGCCATTTCAAAAAAAAGGCCCCAGCAACCCAGTTCACATGTAGTAAAACCCTGAAAACTAAATACTATTGGGGTAGACTTGCAGGGGCCTTTTTTTTGTGGCAAACTGATGGGAAAACATGGCAATTTACCCAAAGAAACATATTAAGGCAATCAATGCTTCTTAGGTGTTTGATACGGGGTTAAGCGGATAGGTTTTGAAGATCCACCCACAAAAAGCTCTTATCACACACACGCAAAGAAAAAGCTCTAATGAGTGAGCGCGACCCTTTTTGTCCATGTCCGATTTGGGATTATGTGGATAGTTTCGATGGTCAATACCTTCAAAAATGGTATCTTTTAAACGCTTGGGTGTTTCATGTGGAGTTCAGTCGATAGTTTTTTTGGGCAAACTTCTAGAAATTGCATCAGGACATTGCTACGAACTACGTGTGGCTGCAGCCCATCGTGTCTTCTTTTCCAGAGTCAGTGCCTGGAACCATTTTCATGACAGATGTTTGGTTGTACCTTGACAAGCTCCTGGGCGAGAAGCTCTTTGTTGCCCGGGATGTCCCGAAGCAGAACCAGGCAGCAACTGAAGCAGGGCGATGCAAGAAGCTGATTGGCGCGCTGCGGTATTTATACCGCAACAGTTTCTTTGTGTTTATTCGGCAGTGTTTTTGGGTTTCACCAGGACTTATGGGCGCACATGAGCGCCATGTTTGACCCTGACTCTATCTAATTTCCCAAAATGTAATTTTTCATGGTTTTTCCAGTGTGCGTGGCTTACCTCATGAGGCTTGACCAGCCACCACCCTCGAGTGTCAGAACTCAAAGCATTGCTGCTTCCATCTCCGGCCTCACGAGTCTCTTGTCAGAATCTGGTGTCACTTAGGTTGAACTAGTTTTGAAACCAATGCCATGATTTAAGAGCAAAAAAGTTTGGGGCAACTAAAGGTTTTAAGTTTTCCGGCCCTTCGTATGGTAAGGTGTTCAACTCGTAACCTGTAGTCTATGTTTTTTGTTCCCCACGCTTTGGACCCTTACTTGGACACCTGCGTGCATTAACCCTTGGAGGCCCGACGTGCGCGCGCTGTGGTGCATGCTGAGCGAGTGGAAGCAGACCCAGAGCTCTTTGAGGGAGAGGCCAGGGTTGAGCTTAAAGATATTTCAAAATTGATACTGTTGTTTGCGGTTGTGTGAATGTTAGTTTCATGCGGTTTCTAGGTGACAACTAAAAGTAGTTTCAGCCCTGACACTGCTTCACCGCTTGTCCACCTTTTGCCAAGGCTTCGCGAGATGCTTCGGAACATGAGTCTGATGAATGTGAAGATGAAGAGGACATCAACGCTGGCGATGGTGAGGATGATGACGATGATATGGGCGACGCTGACGACCAGGAGAAGAGCAACCAGGAGGAGAGCGAGGAGGAGCAGAGCGACAAGGAGCAGAGCGACAAGGAGCAGAGCGACAAGGAGGCAGAGAACGAGGAGGGGGGGGACAGTGGTGATGATGAGGGCAGTGAGGCCAACCAGGGTGCATCATCGCCGTTCTTCCCTGACAACTTCAGTGAGCTCTTTGGCAAGCCGGAGTTGGAGGGTGCAAACTCTGATGTGGAGGAGAACCCCATGGACACTGCTTCTACGTTGGTTCTTGGTGATGATGTTGCTACATTGGATGATGTGGCACAGGAGCCAAGTGGATCTGAAGATGAGACTTCGACTGAGGATGGCTCGGACGAGGAAGATGGACACGTGGAGAATGACTTGGTGACCCCTCCCAAGCGCCCAGCTGCGGACACTGAAGTGGCTAGGCCTGTTTCATTGTAAGTGTTTTTGTGCCCCTGGCCCTGTACCCAACGTATTTCAGTCTAATTGTTGTGTAGAAAAAGCAAAGGTCAACAGTAACAAACAGTAAGATCAGCTAAGGCTTCAAGCACCGTGAAGAAAGCAAAGGTTGAGCATAAGATGCTTTCAGCCACTCTGGAACCAATTTAGCAATATGTTGCTTTTCATTCATCATTTTTGGGGAACGTATGCCATTATGGGCTGATTAGTTCTTTCCACATTTCGAGAACGATCCATTTATATAACTCATGTCCAGTTTTTTCACAAGATTGGTTTAGATGACCATCAGTCGAGAAAAGTTTGGGGGCTAAACTTTAAACACTCAAAAAAACTGCAAGTGAAAAATATTCTTTAAACCTTATAAACTTTAAACATGCAATTCTCCCAACATGTGAGGCCATGGTTCCCGACTGGGCAAGGGGCAAGGATGCGCGTGGAGTTGCCAGGTATAACAAAGCAAATCAAAGCAAGCATTTTTCTTACACCCAAAAACGTGTAAACCCAATAGCTATGGTTAATGTCACTGTCTCGTTTGTTGGGGGCCACCTTACCTACTGTTGCCGTTTTTTTCGGGCCATCCAACTTGCTCCACAGGCTTTGGATCGCAAGAGTGCTGCAAAGTCTGATGATTTTCGCCCTGATGATTTGGACAACATGGACCCTGAAGCAGCTTGGAAAAAGAATAAAGACTGCTCGACTGCTTCTGCAACCAAATAAAAATGATAACTAAAACCTTTTGAGTTTCACTTCTATTACAGGGGGTTGAGAAGGAGCTGGGGGAATTCCCTGAAAACTTTACACGAGTATCTTTGCGTAACACGCACACACAACATACGGGTTTCTACATATATACCGTAGGTTGTAGGGAAACTTGTAGGACATATTTTGAGTAGGACAAGTCCATCTTGAGAACACGATTCCTGTTCCCGTTTGTGCCTGTCTCAGGAAGTGCGGCGATTGAAGATGCAAGATGCCCACCCAGCTCGCCCTGCAACTTGGCAGAGGTTCACTCTGTGGCAGATTAATCTGGGGGTCACTTTGAACGTGTTTGAGGGTAAATTCATATGTTTCAAGAGGTTCTTGTGATCCCCATGGCCCAACATAGGCTACATAAATCCGCAACATTACAAGTTTGCTGCTTCAAAGAATCAAGATTTGGGTCTTAGAATGGCTTGTGAGAACCACACCCAAATGTCATGATATTTATTGGGTTCGTTTCTCCTTGGTATGACTGCAAACCTGGAATATGACTCACCCTCTTGATATTAAACATCATCCATAACACATTGTTTAGTAAAGGGTATACACATAGTTGGGACCACTTAGGGGGTTTTCAATATCAGGGAAATGGGATCGGCTTAAACATGCATATACATACACATACATATACATGTATACACATACACACATACACACATACACACATACACACATACACACATACATACATACATACATACATACATACATACATACATACATACATTCATACGTACATACATACAAACATACATACATTCATTCATTCATTCATACATACATACATTCATGCATACATACATTCATACATTCATACATTCAAACATCCAATCATTGATACATACATACATATATACATGTGTGTGTATTTACAAATACATACTTACTTACTTCCCTAAAAAGGGTTGGCAGAACATCTTATTTCCCATGGTCAGTGTTTGCCCTGGGCTTCAACGTACCTGCAGGGTTCAAAACATCACCCAAAAGACCATATTTGTTTAGTATATTGTTTCCACATGCATGCCCAACCTACAGCTTGAGGCTGCAGCCAATGGTGCTACATCATTTCGTGAGAGCATGGGCATGTTGGGGGATGCTGAAGACAAGGCTAAGAGACCAGTTGTGACACCTGACACTGTCAAGCTACCCCCCATGCGGAAACCCAATTGGATGGGGCAAGTTGAAGGTGGTCTTCTCAGTGCGTCTCCCCCAGTCATTGGACCGCAGGCTAGGGACTAATGCCAAATCCTTGTTGTTTCCATTTTGCCCCACCAAGAAAAAAATCAGCCGGCCTATCCATGCCTTTCCTAAACATCATCCAGCCGGCCCATCCAGGCCAATGAGGGAAAGAAAGGCAGGAAGAAATCCAACAAGAAGGTGAAGGCATGTGAGAAACGCAGGGCCTCTTTCCGCAGATCCCACAAAATGAAGAGTGACAGGGAGCCATCCCCAGAAGCACCCGTTGGTGCTGCGGGCAATGCGGGTTTTTCTGGTGATCATCCAGGTGAAACTAGTGATGACGATGAGGCGAAACTTGACAAACTGTGTTTATACGTGTTTATCATGATATCCCGGAATTCTTATTATGGTTTAACAAAAAGGTTCAGGAAAACATTCCATAAGATCCGTTTGGTATTTGAACTAAAAAACCATTTCCTGGTCATACCTCACTCCAGAAGGCCTCGTACAACGGCTACAGCTTGAAGGGCATGCCGAAGAATGCGATGCCAACGGGAGGACACAAGGGATTCCACAGCTACACGGTCATGAAAGGCAAGGCAAAGATCGAAGTGTTGCTTCGTCAGAAAGCATTTTATGTGAGAGGCGCACCCAGTATCAGGGGCCAAGTTACTTGGTCGAAATTTCCATCCATCAGAGATGCATGGATTGCTGCGTGCACAAAGGCAGGAGTTTTGCCATAGACCCCTACTTGTAGCAGTGCTGTTTTGGTATGGTATTCCCACAGTTCTATAACGTGGGCTTGAAGTCTTCACAAGGAAGATTTTTTTCGATGGCAATGCGGCTGGCTTAGAACCCTTGTTTGAGTTACTCATGTCACTGAAATTGCTGCTTTTGGTTGAGGGCGTGCTGGCCATTTGCCAAACAAGGGGTCATGCACTGGGCTCATCGGACAGCTCTAGTGGTGTTGGTTTACGGTGCAAAGCACCAAAACTTGGGGTTGGTAGAGGGACGGGCGAAGAAATGGTGACATCTTGAAGCGAGAAAAAACCATGGAAGCAATTTGATCACTTTGTCATACTTGTCCTTTTATTTGAAGGTTTCAAGGTGGATGTTTCTTCCTACAGTTTGTCAATATGAATTGAGCGACTTTTTCTTGAATGGTGGTTCCAAGTGGCAATTTTCTGGTTGGTTTGGCACCCCCAAAAAAAGGCCCCCACAAACCAAACAAATATGTAGCAAAACTACGGGAAATATGCTATTGGAAGTAGACTTGTGGGGGCCTTTTTTGGGGGTGGCAAACCACCAGGAAAATTGTAATTCCAAACCCTTTTACAAAAAAGTAGGAGGGTCACAGAAAAGGGTTTAGAACAGCATTGGAGGGAATTGTCTCTAGTAGAAGCACAATACCCTACCTGCAGCAGTACTGAAATAATGTACCTTGAAAACTGACAGAATATTGGAACCTATTTACTGTACCGCTGAAGATGTTCAGTTTCAACTCTGAAATCGAACTCGCACTCGGAATCATCACCCCCTTTCAATCTTAAACTCCAAATGCTTCCTTGTGTGCGTAAGGGTTTTGGTGCAGAAAACCATATTACGTGCTTTGTGTGATCCAAAGTCTAGCCAGCTATGGGTAAAAGGGCCCCGGCAAAGTCATCGATCCGCAGCGCTTCCCAACGGCAGAATCCAGCCGTGGGGGGGCCTCCACCAAAGTCGATGAGCTTCAAGGAGATCAAGCGGAGGTCCATCATCGCAGGCCTTCGAGCGATGAGGGCACCCGCAGCTGCTTGCCCCAACTGTTTGATGTAAAGCCCCCTTAATTAGGATATTACTCTCTGTGGCCAGTTCAATGGGGAGGGGCTTCTCAATGGGCCCAATAATGCAAACACCAGAAATGTTTGATCAATTTGTTTGTGGAAGGAGTTCCCACTTAATAGTTATCACGTGAAACTATCTAGATGGCGCCCCTTCAATGAAATTCCCCAGGGTGGTTTTGATCTGGGGTTGACATTCCCATAAGGTCGTGGCCATTTTGGTCAACATGGTGTTCGGGCTTCCTTTACCATTTTCTGCAGCCAACCAGATCCAGCACTTGGAGCTGTTTGCTGGGGATTGTGCAGTATCAAGATCTGAGCAAGCGGACAAGGGTTACAGGCCAAAAAACGATAATAAAAGTACAGACCAATCTAACGGTTCCCCTTCAAGTCGAAGAACCCAACATTAGAAAAGATTTGGGGTTCAGCTCCATGTATCATATTCAAACATTGATATGAGAATCATTTTCAGAAGTTACTTTCATGGATGCCCCAACAAAGAATTTTGAAGGAAACAGTGGTTTGGGGTTGAGCTCCCATATGTATCCTGTTCAGAAATGCTATGATGTCAATTTCTAGAATGATGCTTTTTTCCGGTAACCACAGAAGAAATAGCACAACATTTGAAATCCTTTTCGCCCATTAGCTTCCCGTCCCCGCAGGAAGGAAGATCTGTGATGGCAATGGACATCGCTTTTGGTGGGAAACCTATGGACTTGTTGACGCCAGAGGGATTCTTGGGGGCAGTTTACCATGCCTGCAGGCTGGAACCTGGGACTGGTGCTCTTGCAGCACCAGTCTGTTCCTCCTTTGTATACATGATCCTAGACTGCAAAAGCTAATTGGTCTTGGCCCCCATGGGGTGTGTAATCCACCAGTCCGAGTTGATACAGAAGTTGGTTTTTAAATCTTTTAACCTAAAACGAGCACATGTGAACCTATGGTTTCCCGTCAGAACTAAGTCGCACTAAGGAACAAAGGAACAAGCAAGCGATCACCAGATAGACCAATGGGAGAAGAGTCATACCCCAGTGTGAAGGCAGGCAACACACTTGCCTGTCGCACACTGTTGATCGTGATGATAGCCCATGCCTTGTGCTGCTTTTGGGTGCTGGAACAGCCGAAAGGAAGCACCATGGACCTTTTGCCTTGTTTTCAGGAACTTCTCCGGAAGGTAACAGTTTGGAAACACAAGTTCAACATGCAAGACTACGGTGCACCATCGAAAAAACCAACATGGATCTATAGCAGTCTTTTGGCTGGGCTGAAATGTTGAAATCAATCCAACCGGAAATAGGTGGTTCAAGGGTTTCTGGTTTTCAACATATGGAATTTTGTTACATATGAATGGCTCCCTGAAGACCCAAAACAAAAAGCCACCTATTGGGGTCTATCGTTGTACACTGTTTCGGCGGACCCTGTTCAGTTTCAGCTAAGGGTAGAAGTTGTCGTATTCTGGCCTCCCAATCCAGAATCCGATGCATGATGTTGTGCACATGTGGGGTTGTATCATAAATGGTTGTCATGGGCATCCCCAAAGATGTATGCTTCTCGAATGGCCCATTTGATATTGACATATAGTGATATCTACACATGTAACATGTAAATATGTAGAAACACAGGTTATATATATGAGATATATGTAGAAGCGTTTGTATATTTAGCTACATATGTACATATATATATATATATTAATAATATATACGGTTATGTTGTACACAGCGTGTATGTATATATGTATAGATGTACTTGTGTAATGAGATATCTTTGCATGACCAATGTCGCCTGGTAAGGTCACAAGATCATCAATGAGTTGCCTGACTTCAAGCCAACTTGGTTACCAGAGCTCCCTCCGGTTGAAATGGCTGTCAAGTACGTTGATGGCAGTGGAAAACAAAGAGTGAAGGGAGGTTCTTCTTTGAAAGCCAGTCAAAGCTACCCTCTTCAGTTTCTTGGATTTATAGTCTTATTTTCAGCACCCTGCCAGAGTTTAACCTGGGGTCCCATGCAGCTCCATCCTGCATGCGGTGGCAACCCGTCCCAGGTTTGGAAGAGCCCTGTCCAAATTGAGAAGCCGCCATTCCAATCAGCTCCGAAAGGATGCAAGGGCAACCTTGAAGATGAACTTGTTAAAGGGCAAGAACACCCCTAGGAACACGAGAGCTGACTCTAAATGGATCAAGCACGCTGACTTGGGACCTGTCTTTGACTACTTGGCATGAGCAAAACTAGCATGCCAGGCGAGTGTGTTTGCACAGTTGGAACTCCCAACTCTCAAGCTAACAAAGTTAATTTGAGCTGCGATCGAAACTTGAAAGGACTTAGGGTGTCCTGAGAAAATATGTGCGCCAGCGCAGTGTCTTCTGGAGTTCTGATCTGTGGAAATTGTATGGTTCCCTTCCAGTCCATTGATCCCCTACCCAAAGTTTGCCATGCCTCGCTCCTGCAGGTGAGGAATGGGAAGACTCGTCCTCAAGCACATCACCAAAGGTGCTACCCACCCATGGCCGAGCAGTTGTGGTATTTGGCTATCAAAACATGCAGTCAATGTTGAGTTTGATATGTTTTGGCATGATAATGTTCAGAATTCAGCCGCGTAGTGTTGAGAAATTGGCCGCGTGGTGTGCAGAACAGCCGCGTAATGGTATCCCCCAGAAAACATATGGTAATTTGTATCCCATATTTGATTGCCATATGAGTCTTCCCAATATCAATCGGCTTCAGCCGCGTGGTGTTGAGAAAATGGCCGCGTGGTGTGCAGAACAGCCGCGTAATGGTATCCCCCAGAAAACATATGGTAATTTGCATCAGCTTCAGCCGCGTGGTGTGCAGAACAGCCGCGTAATGGTACTCCCCAGAAAACACATGGTAATTTGTATCCCATATTTGATTGCCATATGAGTCTTCCCAATATCAATCAGCCACGATTTCCAATCAGCCACGAACATTTCCAATCAGCCACGGAATGTGTTCCACTCTTCAGCTCCCAGCCTCTGCATTGCCAATCTTTGCTTGGCCTCAGACCAGATTTTGCTCAGACAGTGGTTCAAAGTCTCTAGCTGGAACCATGGGAAAAAGGACAGACGAGAAGCAGTCGAAGCGTGGCAAGGTTGAGAAAAAGGAAAAGGTGAAGGACAAGAAGCCCACAAAGAATGACTTAGCGAAGACCGACAAGAAAGACCGACCCAATCCCAAGAAGGCCGAGGAGAAGAAGGCAGCAGTGAAAGTGTCAAAAGACAAGTCCCAGAAGAAGAGTGCATCGTCCAAGGTACCAAAGGAAGAGCAGAAGAAGGCAGCAGCGAAGACCGACAAGAAAGACTTGGCAGTACCAGAAAAGAAGCATGACAAAGATGGTGGTAGCAAGAAAGTCAAGAAAGCAACACCGGTGCAGCCAGTTGAGAAGCATGAGAAAAAAAGAAAAGACAAGGCAGAGTGCAAGAACAGCAAACCACCTGTGCTTGCTATCCGAGATGCTCCGTCCCGAAGATGCACTACCAAGACCCGTCCTGAAACCGAGCCAGACACTAGCTTCATGACACCTCCCGAGCATGTGCGACGAATGTCATCGCCTTCCTTGTCACAGGCGTCAGACACCTCGTTGGCAAAGTATGAAAGGGAAGCCGAGAAAGCAAACATGAACCTTGAGGACTACCTGCAGAAAGTCTCATCGGAAGAGCTTGAGAAGGCAGTCGAGGCACGCATGAAAGAAATTGTTGAGACGAGTGATGGACAAGAGAAGGAAGGGAAGGAGAAAGAAGAGCAGAAAGACGAAGACAAGGAAGAGGAGAAAGAAGAAGAGAAGTCTTCGAGCGCTTCCAGCAGCGATGCAGAAGTGAGTGATGCTTCTGATGATGAAGAAGATGTCAGTGCTAGTCTCGGGAAAGAGCATGAAGGAACTGATGAAGGCTTAGATGGAGAACCTTTATCGGATGATGAGGGCGAAGAGAAGAGCGAGGCGGAACTTGACAGTGATGAAGAAGCTTCAGAAGATGAGGCATCAGAAGATGGAACCGACGAGGCAGAGGTGGAGCAGCAGGTTCAAGCTTTGGTGCCTATCGAGAAAGATGTGCAGCAGCAGGACCCCGCCGGCAAGAACTCGGCCAATGCAAACGCATTGACACAGGCGGTCGCAACTCAGAGGGCGGCTGGGGAGAGCAGGAATGTGGACATCTCAAAAGCAAACAGTTCCTAGTTTGAGTCAAGTATTTTCCTGTTGATTGCTTTACCTTCCCAGGTTGATTGCTTTACCTTCCCAACTTCATTTCTCAGTATCTCAAGTGTTGTTTGTATCCTTGCCATCATTTCTCATCAAGTGTTCCCCTCCTTATTTCTCATCGGGTCACTTGGCAAATCAAAAATCTGAGGTAGCAATTGCAAGGCCGAGTGGGACAAGTTCAGCAGGCAGTGCCTTGACCGACGCCGGTTTCCAGTGGCGTTGGCAGGGCACTACCAAAAAGATAAGCTTGACTTGTTTCGCAGCTGGCTGTCAGCCAAGGAAGATTGGTCGAAGCCACTCGTTTGCAAACAATTTTGCTTTGAGCCTTTTACCATCAATTACAATGAGTTAGGTGGTGACAGTATGTATGAACCGTTATCCCCATTCAAAAAGTCCTTGTGCTTCTCACTTCCCAGGAGCCTCACTAGCTAAAACCTCATGCAGAACAAGAGCACAGCATTTTCTCAAACCCTTGCACGGACTGAGGGTGGAAGTTGAGATCCAGCGCAAGGCAGAGAGGACAAACAAGGCGACAAAAAAGAGGGCAGGGATGAAAGCGCGGGAGATCATGAAAGCCTATCCACAGAAAAAAGCTTTGGATTTGATCAATCGCCTGCGAACCAGCGGCCTATGGGCCTATGATGAAGACTTTGACCAGGACGAAGAGGACAGAATTGGTTGCTTAAGTTATTGTCCAATCGAGTTCAACCATCCAGTTTATGTCTATTGGGCCTTCAAGCCACATGAGTTCAAACATCCAGTTTATGTTTACTGAGCCTTCAAGCCTTATTCATGAATTCAATCATCCAGTTTATGTCTATTGAGCCTTCAAGCCTCATGAAACATATCCATCACAAGAAACACATAGGCATGTTATTCCAATTTTAGACCGTTAACTGGCCAGGAGATCTTCTACTTCACCAACAGTGGGTCGACCTTTAAGTGTGAAGATGCGACCTCTGAATCCATGGCTATTAAAGCTTCTGAGACAGGCAACAAAGATCTCATTGAGTCGCTGACTGGTGAGGGAGGTCCTTTGCAGGCAGGTCTCCTGCCAGCGGCGCCGGTGAAGAACGAAAAGGCTTTGCATGATGCTTTTGGCGATGCAACGAAAGCCGTCAAGACTCCAAAGCCAAAGAAGGGTGACAGTACAGAGAAAGCAGAGCCAAAGACTTTCGAACAGCGGGGGCCCCAAGAATTTACCAGAAAGAATGTTTACTTACAATTCTCAGTGGTCGTGGTTCAAACGAAGTCTCCATACTTAACTCAAAAACATCTCTTTCCCCAGCACGATCAGAATCTTGTAGCAAAAAAAAACAAACAGGTGACAAGTATGTGAGTATGTGTTTTCAATGGTGTGTTGACCCCCGTCTTCCACTCTAGTCTTGACCCAATGCCTTGTCGACAGTCTCCATTTGCCCAGGATTGTCACTGAAAAAATGGAAGCTTGCCTCAAGAAGGGTGGAGAGGGCCGGCGACACGCTATCTCTCTTGAGGCGGTCGAATACAGTGGTGATCTTGCAAAGAAGCTCATGGCTTTTAGTGCCAAAATGGAAAAGGTATACAAAAAGTTGCAGGAGTTGTGTTCCCAAAAAAGCAAGGATCCCAAGGAATACCAAAAGTTGATCGACATCATTGATGAGAAGCTGGCATGGTTTGAGAAGGCTGAGGCACATGGGGACACCTGGTGGCATTGTATATCTTACTTTGGGGTACAAGTTAAAAAAAGGGAAAGAAATGGTTAAAACATCAAGCAGATCTTGGTTATAGTAAGAAGACATTGGGACGTAACCCCAACAACATTGCTAGATATTTATATGCTATATATACATATGTATCATATGTATAATTATATATATATGTGTGTTTTCTGTTTTGGAGCTGCATTTCCAAGTACCTGCAAACCTTCAAACCTATCCAAACAATGTGGAGCCATTTCTGGGTTTTTAATCAAGAGACAATTTTCGGATCTCACCTTGGATACCGTGTTTTAGAATAGAAGTGGCCAAGTGTGGAGGACCAAATTTGTACCAACACCATCTCAAAGTTTCACATCCTGGTGAAATTCCCTTGCACCCTCTGGAGGCTGCGGCCAAAAGCTTGCAGAGCGGAATGAACCCCAGGCCTAAGAAGAAGGCAAAGACAAGGCAGTCAGGCAAGGCTGAGAAGGATACCGCGGATGCCGCTGCGGATGGCAATTCTGCCATCACACCGTGAATCTTTTAGACTTGGGGAAGGGCTTACCTGAGTGTTTATGATATTGCTTAACTATTCGGATAAAGAATATTTTCGACATGTACAGAATATTTATATTTATATATATATATATCTCTACTTATCTATTTATCTATCTATTTATCTATCTATCTATCTATCTATGTATCTATCTATTTGCCTATCTATCTATCTATCTATCTACCTATCTATCTATCTATCTATCTATCTATCCATACCCCTATTTGTATCTATATCTATCTATCTATTTATACCTCTATTTGTATCTATATCTATCTATCTATTTTCTATCTATCTATCTATCTATCCATAGCCCTATTTGTATCTATATCTATCTATCTATCTATCTATCTATCTATTTATCTATCTATCTATCTATCTATCTATCTATACCTCTATGTGTATCTATATCTATTTCTCTAACATCTATATCTATAGCTGTAAAGTCATATATATATAGTCATCATGTGTTTTCACGTGAGTCCTCTTGGCAGAAAAAAAGCTGCTGAGCAGCCCCTGATGTGAGGAAGGTCTTGCATCCAATCTCAAATTTGAACCGCGTAGGGATTTTCGATTTGCAGCGGAAGTGATAGCTGTAGCGCTTTAGGGAGGGCAATCAAGGTTTTGACCTGGATGCCAGGTGTCAATCAGCCATTCTTAACTTGTCCTTTGGAGCTGTGTCTTGATCCAATTTCAGTGGGTCACCTATGATTGCTGGGTAGCGGCTGCCAGAGCATTTCCACCTGCGAGGAGTCCGAAAAAATGAGGCTCCTTCTCATCCAGCCACAGCCTATCAACTTGGGTTACCATTGACCTTACCCATCTTATCCACATAGTGTCAGCTGGGGTTCAGGCTCCATATCTGTATTCACATTCTGCCGTCCCTGCGCAGGTGGTGATGGAAAGTCAGGGCTGCGATCTAGAAGCACCAGGTATGAAGCCATGCCCAGGTGTGAGAGTGCAGATGTGTACTTGCGCATCTAGGCATGTTTGGTTTTTTGTTTTTCGAACCTCGAACGTGCAAAGTTTTGACATCCAAAAAGTATTCAACTCGCATTGGTTTGTGTGTGGTATATTTATGGTCTTTCGAGAAATGAGCCTATATTGCCTATACCAAAGTGATATCCACATATGTGTAATGAATCCATTTAAGAGTTTAAGATCAGAATAACACCATATAATGTCGCAATGTAGACTCTTAGAACCAGCTCTTGGGTTTGCGCTGGCCCAGCCCTGCTTAAGGAATGGTCGGGTGTGGTCGTGCATCCGTAGCGGAAGTCTGTGAGATTAGTCGGGCTAATGTTGCGGATGGGGCCAGCTCAGCGGCTCTACATGGGCTGAAATCACTGGGTGGAGAGGGCCGGCATGAAAGCAACCAGGAGAGAGACCTTCATCGTTGGGTAAAAGGGCTGCATTCTATGCAATTGGAACCCTTCCATGTTGAGATGCTCCTTAATGTTTCTTGGTAAAGTGAAAACAAACGATCATATGGTTGGGGTTTCGTGTGTGCTTGGCATCCCCTGATCCTTCATGGATTGTGTTGCAAAAAAAACATATATGTTGAACCATATGGGTCGTATTTTATGTCATGAACGAAGGAATGGAAACCCAATCCCATACTTGGGGTTTAGAACCAGGTCGCCTTTCAACTTTATATTCAAGAGGGATCCGAGCTGCGCCTCCTGCAGGTTCCAGGCAAAGTTGATCCTGTTCGCCAGCAAGTTCCAGTCCTGTTGCCGCATGAGATTCTAGATGCTGTTTGGCATGCTGGGGATGCACAGGAGCGGTCGGGGAAAGGTTAAACCCACACAAATAAATTAAAAAATTGTTTACAGATGTTTATAATTTTTATAGTATTGGTTCCCAAAGATTTGGAAAAAACATGTTGTCAAAAACCCTGCAGTTTCATCGGTCCATGACTGGTGGTCGAACCAATGATGCTATAGATGAGTTCTGGAACCACTGCTACTCACTGGAGGAATGGCGAAGCCATCCCTGTTTGAATGATTTGTCGGTTCCAAGATCTCGTATCTAGCCTGCATCTTTCCAGCATTTTTTGAATTTCCAATGAGCTATGAATTCACAACCTCTTTTGTCAGAATGACAAGATCCCAAAAAATAAGGCTTGATTCCATTATGCGTACACATCGATGGATGCGAATTCTATTCCAACTCGGAGTACGAAGTGTACAGCGTTGGGAGCATTTTTGCTCATGGACATGTTTGGGATTCAAAATTTCCATGCGTAACGGTGGGGCATGACCACATGCATGACCCGAACATCAAAAAGGAAGTCAACAAGACAGTTGCCGAAGTGTTCGCCTGGTCTCTGAAGGCTGCTTCCAAGGGCCTTTGGCCATCGACAGGACCCTTTGGGGAGGAGCTGACTGGGTTTCGCAAAGCTAGAGCTGGTACATGCTTAGCTGGGAATTGGAGGGCATGTTATTTTGGCATGCGTGCTGATGCAAAGGCTCGCAAGCTAGCAAACGAATTTCCAAGGTCCTATCAACACAGCTTTATCTGTGAAGCATGCATGGCCCAAAAGCCCCACAAGAACTGGGAACCGTTGATGAACTACAAGAATTTCTATGGTTCAGCAGCTTACCGTTTGGCGCCGATTGGTTCATTGTCAATCTTCAAAAAATTTTTTGTAACCCTTTCAGATTGGGGTTGGCTGGTTGCAGCTTCAACTTTTGCATGTTTAACAAAGCCCAATGACCTAGCTGCTCAAATCAGGTATGGCAGACTACTTGGCTTTTACCCGGCCTCTTTCACCATGGAAGTGCGTGGAAGGCTGGCACCTGGGCAACAACTTTCACGATCCAATGCATGCGCTTTACCTAGGCACCCTCAGGGATTTGTATGCCAGTGCGTTGGGCTATTGGCTCCGACAAGGGTTCTACGGTCATGGCACTATGCAGGATAAGTTGAGGATGTTTTCCCATGAGCTTAAAACCCAAAGCCGTCAGCAGAAGTTCATTGGTGGCACTATGTGATTTTCTAAAACTGAATTTAAGGTATTCCTATTTATTTCCCCTGGAACCTGTTGTTGTGTATTGGAACTTGGAACCACGTCCCCACAACTTAGGATTGCCCTCACTTTCAAGTGCTTCACAGTGGCAAACACTGGTTTAGAAAAGACCACTGAGTACCCTGAAATGGGAAGCTGCTTCAAGGCAGCCTTCATGAAGGCTGCTTGTTGGTTCTTCACAAAAATGGCCATCCAGCTGGCAAACGCACACCCCCATGAGCCGAGCTTAAATTTAAGTCTGTTGGCGTGGCCCCCCGGGATAGTCCATCAAAGTTTCGGGTTTTAAATTCCCATCGCATTCAGAAGGGCATTTCCAATCACATTCAAAAGGGGGAAAAACAAGTACATCCACCATTGTATAATAATAATAGTTTCCGACCCACATGAATTTACACAAATGTTTCATACGATCAAAATGGCATGAAGTGTTGACTTCTGTTTACAGTGCTACCTAGTATTACTTAGTACTACTTAGTGTCAAGATATCCCAAAAGGAGTGAAAAAATAATATCCTCTGCGCGCTCAGGATGAGATCCTACGCTTGACAGCTGTGTGCCTCTGGAACCTGCACAGTGCGTTGTGTCTTTTGGACGAGTCTGACATCTTATTGTGCGAAGATGATGCAAAGGACCCATGTTCCATTTTCAAACATGTTATACTTGATGTCTTGTTTTCAGAACGCAAGTGAACTCAAGTTCCCTATTTCAGGGGTCCCCATGCCACACGCCATCCCGAAGGACTTCAGCAACCACGTTGAGATTCACCTGATTGCCTGGCAGCATTTGGCTGCCATCTGTCAAGACCAGTCCCTTAGGTTGTTCAAGCTCAGGCCCAAACATCACAGTTGTGACCATATGGGCACGCAAGTTGCCCGGACCAAAGTAAATCCAAGAAAAGCAATGCAGTGCTTTGGAGACGAAAGTTTTTTGGGGTTTTGAAAAAGAATTGGAGTGAAATGTCATTCCACTTCTATCTTGCGCCGTATCTACCAAAGATACCTGTTGTTTCTCAGCTTACGGTGGAGAGACGCCAAAGCTGGATCGTGACTGGGGGTTTGTGGAAAATGTCATGTGGCCTGTTCTCATTTCCAATTTCTTTGTCTGTCAGCTGCACTATTTTAATATGTCAAAAATTTGGCACTTACTAGTAACCCCAAAGCGGAAGTAAAACCAACGCTGCAAGACACAGAAATTGCGATGCACACTTGAGCAAGTCGAGTCGGTCTGCCGAGCGGCCCCACAGTTGTGAACGTTTTTTTTGGTGAGATGTTCAGGGTTGATTTGTGTCTACAATGTGCCCCCTGTTACCATCAGGGCATCTAGCAAATCTAGCCACCAGGTCACAAAACGAATCTTTGCAAGACAAATTCTGTTGCCAGACCACCCCAAACAGTATATCTGGATGATAGCCGTGTTTGTTTAGTCATTGGACCAAACAGTTACATATGTTTGGTTACTGCGTAGTGCCATTCCACATCCACCCCTGGGTGCCAGTGTAAAACGGGAGAAAGTTTTCAACACATAAGACTTACAAACAAGTTCTTGTAATATATCTATATACATAAATATAAATATAAATATATATATATTTATATTTATACACATGTATTATAGAACTAGGTGTGAACGTAGCGCTAAAACTCTGCATATCAGCTTCACATATGGATGTGGGTCAAAATGGAAGACCTAGGGGACCACAGATGTTAGTCTAGTTTGGTATTAACCATCCATAATTTTGGGGTACCTAATTTTGACCCATACCCATATTTCCTTAGGAGGTGTAAAAGTATTCATGTAGATATGTAAATATGTTGGGGTATAGGGAAATAGATGAGTAGGTATGGGAGGAGTATGCAGCGTATGTACTGCATGTAAGGTTCCAAAGCAAGTAAGGCATCTAAGGCATGCGAGGTATGTAAGGTAGGTTAGGTATGTAGGTGTGTTGGTGTGTGATATGTAGGTATGTAGATACGAAGGTATGTATGTACAGGTAGGTAGGTCAGTAGGTACCTGGGTATGCAGGTAGGTAAGTACACAGGTATGTAGGTATGCAGGTTCATATACAGTGTATATGCAAAAATGCACCGTTGGAACCAGTTGCTAGTCGGGCGTGCCCAAGCAAGTGCAAGTGCATGCTCACAGCATACAAGAAATGCCCTGTATAGGGACAGCTTCTCATCATCAAGAGCAGCCAATGCCCACGGCCATGTCTTCTGCCATGGCATCATTTTGCAACACGTGTTCCCTTCGCAGCTCATGAGAACTAGCTGCAACCATGCATCGACTGCGTTTCGTGGCAGTTCATGGACAGCGTTTCGTGGCACCCTGGAAGTGCTTTCGTGGAGATACCCACCTATAGAATCTTCTGAATCACATATATTACTCTACATGCATTTCTTTATTTTTTCTTTCTTGGTATCTTTTGCTATATATATCCTTTATATATCTTTATGTAACTCTTTCTTTATATGCCCTATATAAATGCATTTGTTTGTTTTCTCTTTTTCCTCTTGCTTTTGTCTCCCCTAGCTGTGTTGTTTGCGACAGCGTTTCGTGGCAATGCCTCGACACCTTTTCGTGGCACCCTGAAAGTGCTTTCGTGGAGATATCGATATATGCTACAGTTTCTTTATGCAACTCTTTTTTTCATTTCCTTAATACGTTCTTTTGGTCTTTTTCCTTTTGCTTTTTTCTTTTCCCTTTCTTTGCGACAGCGTTTCGTGGCAGTGCTGCGACAGCGTTTCGTGGAACCCTGAAAGTGCTTTCGTGGAGATACCCATCTATAGAATTTTGTTTATCATCTTTATACATTTCTTTATTTTTGTTTCTTTCTTCGTTTCTTTTGCTTATAATATATATATATATAATAAATATATTATTTATTTAAATAAATATTATATATATATTAAAATTCTTTTATTATGCAAAAACCTTTCGTGGCATGAGCCTCGACACCTTTTCGTGGCACCCTGAAAGTGCTTTCGTGGAGATATCGATATATATGCTACAGTTTCTTTATGTAATTCTTTCTTAAGTACATTCCCTTAATGCAATTATTTTTTTGTTTTTCTCTTTTTCCTTTTGCTTTTTTCTTTCCCCTTTCTTTGCGACAGCGTTTCGTGGCAATGCCTCGACACCTTTTCGTGGCACCCTGAAAGTGCTTTCGTGGAGATATCGATATATGCTACAGTTTCTTTATGTAATTCTTTCTTAAGTACATTCCCTTAATGCAATTATTTTTTTGTTTTTCTCTTTTTCCTTTTGCTTTTTTCTTTTCCGTTTCTTTGCGACAGCGTTTCGTGGCAATGCCTCGACACCTTTTCGTGGCACCCTGAAAGTGCTTTCGTGGAGATATCCATATGCTATTAATTTCTTTATGCAACTCTTTCTTTACATTTAACTTAATACGTTCTTTTGGTCTTTATCTTTTTCCTTTTGCTTTTTTCTTTTCCCTTTCTTTGCGACAGCGTTTCGTGGCAATGCATCGACAGCGTTTCGTTGTGCCCTGAAAGTGCTTTCGTGGAGTGATGTTCACTGAGTTTTTCTCTACAGCCCGCTTTCTGTTCCTCTTTTTCACTTTCTTTTATATCTTGTTACTTTTTCTTTCTTTTTTTTAGTATAAAAATATTTTCTGGTTTTGCTTCCACTTTCATGCAATTGTTTTTGCATGTTTAGAAAACATTATTGTCTGCATCAATGCATCCGAGAGTAACGAGTGCTTCCGAAACGAACGACAGCTCTTTGATGAATCAGCTGTCTTATGTTGGAATAGGTGTCCTTTGAACAGCGTTGGATCCTTACGGTCTGTCGACCACACATGCACGAAAAACAGTTGAAACCCCATTTACAATGCGGAACCGATCCGAGACCGATCCGACCATGATCCGAGGATGATCCGACCACACACGAGACCGTCTCGCACCCGTCGCACCGCAGAGGTAGATCATCGAGGTTCGGGGACGGACTTTGTATGGAAAAACATAGGGTTTCGTGCATCTGCTATCTCTCAAAAACGCATTTCGTGCGAGACTTCCTCCAAAACTCCATCGGCAACTCCTCCACCAGCACCACTTGCAATGCCATTTACAGTGAGGGAACGATCCTAGAGTTTTAACTCTTTCTTTGACTAACTCTTTCCCTGACTAACTGTTTCTTTGACTAACTCTTTCTTTGACTAACTCTTTCCCTTAACTCTTTCTTTGACTAACTCTTTCCCTCACTAACTCTTTCTTTGACTAACTCTTTCCCTCACTAACTCTTTCTTTGACTAACTCTTTCCCTGACTAACTGTTTCTTTGACTAACTCTTTCTTTGACTAACTCTTTCTTTAACTAACTCTTTCCCTGACGAACTCTTTCTTTGCTAACTCTTTCTTTGACTAACTCTTTCTTTGACTAACTCTTTCTTTGACTAACTCTTTCCTCTCACTAACTCTTTCTTTGACTAACTCTTTCCCTCACTAACTCTTTCTTTGACTAACTCTTTCCCTGACTAACTGTTTCTTTGACTACTACTCTTTCTTTGACTAACTCTTTCTTTGACTAACTCTTTCCCTCACTAACTCTTTCTTTGACTAACTCTTTCCCTCACTAACTCTTTCTTTGACTAACTCTTTCCCTCACTAACTCTTTCTTTGACTAACTCTTTCCCTGACTAACTGTTTCTTTGCTACCTCTTTCTTTGACTAACTCTTTCTTGGACTAACTCTTTCCCTCACTAACTCTTTCTTTGACTAACTCTTTCCCTGACATTCTAAAAGTCCGTAACACGGAAGTTTCTCCCCCTAAACTTCCTTTGATCATGGTGTATCTATGCAAGTCTGTTTGTGATGCGGCAGGTGATGCGCGAATATCTTCTCATGGTTTCGTCCCTCCTTCAATCCCTCTGCGCCAGGGATCTCTCGCGCCTGAGGAGTGCGTAGCATTGCAGCAAGCAGCCGGGTGCATTCCTGAGTGCGGGAAAGTATGCATCGCTCATGAACCAGCGGACAATAATTGTGGACATGTTTGTTCTATGACATTGCAACCTTGCCAGGAGGTCTTGTCCTGTTGCACTATTGTGCCTGTACACTGTACACTCATCTTGATCCCAACGGGCATTCAGGATGCCTCGGTGTGTCAGTTATAGTTTCCCGTGTCTGCACCATTCTGCACCTGTAGCAAGATTCGTATGAGAGATGCGGCTTTGGCTGGATGCAATGGTGCAATGCGTTCCGCATCTTCTTGTCCTGTCAAAACCAGTCAAGCAAGGAGGCTCCAACTCCAACTGAGCAAGAAACTGCAAGAATCCAAAACATCCGGAAGATCCAAGAAGAGCGATATCGCATGAGTGAGAAGGAGAACCCTCGTAAAGAGAAACAAAACGCTTCAATCATCGAATGGTATTGTGCAGGAAATTGGCAATTGCACAGAGAATCCTTAT